AGAGTCTTCTACAACACAAGCATTTCAGTTCACTTCTTCCTCAAACGCTTACTTGAAGTAAGAACCTTCTGCAGGCATGCACTGATTTTACTCAGAGAAACTATGATCTCAAATGCAGTACATTTCGTTCGTTTGCCAAAAATCTCTGCTCAATCTGACTCATAGCTCACGTATGCACTATCCAAACACCTAAACAAGTCATGTGTCAAGAGCATGTTATCTCTCCACAGAAGAATGACACCAAACAACCTTAGGAGTCAAAGGTGATGGTGCAATGTAGGTCCTGTAAGCACACAGCCTATCTGACCGCGACTGATACTACTGACACATCATTTAAAGCATTCGTTAACTCCTGCACTTATATGGGTGGAGCAATGTAGCTGGGATACCCATCCTCCCAAGCACACTCAGTTTACTTCTGTTTTAAAGCTAACTGATAAAGGCTTTTATTTCACTGTTTGACACTAGTTTATGGCACATTAGTCAGAATGTTGAGTTCATAGCTTTTGATTCATCTCAAAGCTCACGGGGTTTAAAAGCCTTCCATATTAAGCATAAACAGTTTCTGCTTTTAAAACAAAGTGTGCTTACTCGATGAATCACCCAATCCACTTGCTCTCCAATTAAACAAGCTCTCCCTCACTCCTAACAATTTGTTTTTCTGTGTTGTACAACATCTTTCTCCTGATCTGCTTTCAAAGACAACACCACACTCAGAAGACAGCCCCTTTCAGAAATTTCATTTGTAGTTAAGTGGCGTGTCTATCACTGAACAACCATCACACAAACCTGAATTGAACTTGGGGGTAATGGAGCACACTTTTAGCGCTGCAGTAGCCACTATATGCACAGAAATATTTCTACTTATGCTAATACTAAGCTAACACGATGTATCATTAATCTTAACTGAAAAAAAAAAATACCCAAAAACTATTGACTTTATTAGTTTCCAGTTAGCCAGCATTGTAACAGTCAGGAAGCACCACAAATCCTGTTATAACACCTCTTTTCAAGTACTGACTCATAGAATCACAGATGTTTGAAAGGGTCTCATTCCTTCCTCAGTTTAGTCCACACTCCTGCCCAAAAAAGCAGTGTCAACATCAAATCCAAACCTGCCTGATGAAGGTTTATCCAGGTTTTCAGGTCTTGAAAGCCTCCAAGGATGGGAATTCCAGTGTCTCTGGTCAACCAATGCTTAATCATCCTTCAAATTATTTTTTCCCCTTATACTCAGTCTCCTCTCTAGTGATCTCTCCTGCTCCTTTTTACGACCTGTCTCCCATTCTTCTCCCATGAACTTATGTAAAAAGCCTGGCTTCAACTTCTCAGCTAAAAAGATTAACAACTTGATAAGACTTTGAGTTCAGCAAAGCTACAACAGCTACGTCAAATCAGACCCGATGCTTTAAAGCACTTACCGATTTACTAGGTACCCAACAGAATTATACACTTCCCATTTGATACCGAAGTGCTAAGGAGAGCAAACAACATCTAAGTTAAGCATTAACAAACACAGGAATCCCAGCAATCTCCCTGACAACCTAAATTTATTCTGTTTCCCCTAGTATAACAAGCATACTTTTAAACAAGCAAAACAAGCACACTGCCAAACCCCGTTAAGAATGTGACTGCTTATTGCCATCTCATGCCAGTCTATTCTAAGGGCTGGCATGAGATCAGATGATTGTTTGCCAAAACAATTTCATTTTTTTCTGCCCATTTCATTGTAAACAAAAATAATGATAAAACCACCAGGCACTCATTCCTACCTCCAAGTCCAGCAAAAAATGAGGAAAAAAATAAAAATTAAAAAAAAATTAAATCAGAGCTCTTTCAGCAGCTTTGGTGTGTCAAAGGTAGTCATAAGACAGACACTGCATTTTAGAAAAATACTCCAGTTTACACACTACTAGTATAAAAACTGTAAATAAATTCTCATTGTGCAGTTCTGTCACATTAAACTTGAATGACTCAAAATTACCTAAATCAGAAAAAAAAATTAGTAGTTCTAATACAGCCTATCTTCAATTATTTGTATGTGCACATTCACATCAATTATCTTACAGAAAAATACTTTAAACCATCATTTTCTTTCCTAGCTCAGACCCTCTCTTGATAGCCATCTTGCTTCCTGTCAATCAGGCATGAATCCCATTGATCAGGCTTCAGTCCTCAAGAAAAAAACAATACACAAAAAACCAACAAAACACACACACCAACGCACCAAACCACTATGCTTCTGCACGCCACCTCTTACTTTCAGATGGAGAGCATGGGGAAATGAAAAACTTGCACCTTCTTCTTCTTCTAGAATCTCCTTTCTCCCAAAATAATTATTTCAGCTTTCCCAGGTCCCTGTCATCCAGAGCCATTTTTAGTCTATCATATAAAAATCATTCCCCTAGACTTCTTCCCAATGACTTGCCTAATTTCAGCTGCTATTCCATGAACTAAAAATAAATCCTCCGTTACATGCAGTTGCATGCTCCCACCAAGCCCTTGTGCAGCACTCTACTTGATGTGTGAAACAAGATCTGGAAAAGAGACACACTCCTCTCAGCACACTGCAGAGTTCCTGACAGAGGGCAGGTTGATTCATCTAAGTCACTCTACTGAAACTTGATGAATTATAAGTTATGAAGCTGAACCAAGAAAATCTCCACACCAAACTCTGAGAAGCTTTGTATACAAACTCTGACTAACTTCACACTTGCAGAAACCATGTGGCTTCTCTTACAGAAGTCCCAAATACATCTTCATCTTATTCACATACTGAAGAGAACAGGGACGAGGTACAAGTAAGGTTACTCTCCAAGTACCTAAAGATATTGCCAGCCTCAATAGAACCAATTCCTCATTCAAAATTCAAGCCAGCAAAATTTAGTAGGATTATTCTGCTACATAATGAGTGAAGCCTTTCCCTGATAACAATCTTGTTTTTCCTTCACAAACCTATGGCAGTAATCACTAAATCTGGCTGTCCACTCACACTGCAACTTAAAACATACCTGAATCCCATCCCTTTTCTTCCTCAGAAGTAAATCCCTCTTCATGTCAGTTTTACACACCATTTGTGTAAAATCTACTTTCCCATTCAAGTCATTCACTCTTATCACCAGAGGCTAGTCACTTTATCTCAGGGCAAAACTACCTTTCAGAAGGTATCCAATTCAAGTAACATACCACTACTATGATCCATGTTGCTGCTGGACTGTGATCATCCCCTCAAGAAACAAAAGCATATGATTGCATCCGGAGTCAAATATTAACATAATTTACTTTTTTCACTAAATGTAACAAAAAAAAGTCTACTTTTAGTGATTCTGGAATAACTGTAAAGAACATGCAATGGAAATAGTTGTCCTGTTCAATCCAATTTTGAGCTCATTTCACTTTGATTTTTTAAATTATGTATTTCTTTCAGAACAAAGTGTTCTCCTCTGCTAGAGCAAAATTCAAATTTGTGTCCACATATAGTGCTTCCAATAGAAGCACTTTCCTGTGTGATTTTTAAATCACTTCCCTGCAGGCATCTAGAAGCAGCCTTCCTAGCTTCTTTAGCTAAGAAAAAATAAAGGTAGTATAAACATAAACAAACACCTTGTTTATATAACGTTTATTTATATTTATGCTATGCAAGGAAGTATGAGTTTGTTTCCAATAAAACCATAAAACAAAATAAGTCACTGTATTTGGTTACCTTTTGCTAAGATATACATGGCCACTTTTAATACAAGCATATTTCCAGTTATTCAGTATTCTGGCTTTCTGTCATCCTTTTAAATAATTGTAACTTTCAGTAACTTTTCAATGCCTCATAAGTTACAAATTTAACACCTTCCTCACATGCATTCTAACTTAGCTTTCAGTGACAAAAGAAACCCCGCCATTCTCAGGCTGATCAGTCAAAGGCTCTGCTACACTATACTCCATAAAAGGAATACAAGGTGGGGCACGTACATATTGACTTAGTTTTACCACTATCTGTGAAAACCCTTGCACAGATTAAATGAAGTTTGTAACTAGCACTCTATTCAACAACAACAACCAGGTAAGTCTTAAGTGTCCACTACACTGCTGCTCTTAAAAATGCATCAGAGAACTGAGCTAAAAGGAGTTGATTCAAAGTTAAAACAAGTAAGTTTAAGTAACATAAGTAAACAATTAAAAGTAAACACTGTCATATTAACTGGTTTCGCTGCACTGCGTTTAAAAACTGAGATACAATCCAGAGCTGCTGGCTTTGAAAGGTACCCAAGTTTCAAGTTATGAGGTCTATAAGTAGAAATACCTTCTTTTAAATCAAAAAGCACAGGCGTAATGAACAAAGTCTACAGTCCTAATGAGTATTTGTGTGCTCAAAAGCATGTCAAATCTTTCAAAAAAGACTAGACAATATCCAAATTTTTATATTATTTTCACATCAATTCAGAAGTTCACTAGGGAAGCAGATCGTTTGCATCATAACCACCAATATTCTGGATGCGTCAACACAGACAGAAAAAAAGAACAACTCCGTGACCTTTCCCTCAAAAGGTGAGCAGAACAGAAGTTACACCAACAGGTCCTGCTTATAGAACAACGTTGTCACCGCACCTCTCCCCAGAGGGACAGCCCGAGCAGCGCCGAGCCCCGCCGTATCACACCCCTCACGAAGACATGGGAATTCCCGGCTCCTGCCAGCGACCACCCCCGGCGCGTTACCACAGCCAGGCCCGCAGCGCGCCGCACGCCCCCCTCCAGCTGTCACCTCCCTCTGCCAAAGAGCACCCAAAAACCGTCACGGAAGCTCACAGATTTAAAAATAAATAAATAAATAAATAAATAAATTTTTGAAAGCCTTTAATTCCCGAAAGCCCGGCACCCCCAGACCTGGCCGCACGCCCCTCCGCCCCCCATTCTCTACTTGGGAAGCAACAAAACGACATCCGAGCCTCCTCCTCCCCCACCTCCCTCTTCGTCCACTGCCCCCCTTCCCAGCCCCACAGCTCGCTCACCAGCTTGGGTTTGTTCCGGCTCTCCTCCTCCGCGGCGCGCCCACTCCGCTTCGCGTTCATCCTGCCAGAGCTCAGGGGCTCCTCGCCGCCGCCCGCGCCCGGAGCCGCCTGACCCTCCATCCTCCCACCGGCTCTGTGTCCCGGCAGAAACCCCCTCTCTCACCGGGGCTGTACCCTCAAGGCCCCATAGGACCGACACGCACCACCGGGCGTCTCCCCGTCCCCTCCCAGCCGCAGCTGGAGCAGTTCCTGGTCCTGCTGCCCCGCCGCCTCCTCCCCATCCACCGCCAGCCGAACGCCTCCACGCATGCGCGGCGCCCGGTCGGCGTGATCGCGCATGTGCAAGAGAGGTGCGCATGCGCCGTTCGGAGAAGCGGGGGCAGAGGTGCGCAGCCCGAAGGGCGGGAACTGAGGGGGGCTGGCGGTGCCCGGGCAGGAAATGGCGGAGCTCGGGCTTTGAGCAGGAACGCCCACTGCAAAGGTGAAGTGGGAAACAGAACTGAGCGGTTCTGGCTTCGGCAGCGCGGGGCCGGCCTCTGTAGGCGGAGTTACCCGCAGGGCTCCCGGCTGAGTCGTTCCTCAGGGTGCTGGGAGGAGGAGAGGGCGAGGCTGGTGCTTGGCCGTCTCCTTTCGAGCGGAGTTGGATGCCCTGTGGGCTGCCAGAGACCTGAGGCGGCCAGAGCCGACTGTGGTACTACGGGCTTTCGAGAAAGCGGGACGGCCGGCGACGGCCACGGCAGGACTTGTGTCGGAGAAAAGCCTTGTCTGTAGCTGGTCTTCAAGCAGCAGCTGCTGGGCCTCGTGTGCGCAGTGCCCAGGCACTTCACATGCGGAGGGTTTCCAAAAGGTGGCTTGGGATTAAGTACACAAGGAAACCCCTGTATTGTATTTTAGAGGTAGAATTTACACAAGGTACAAGGGATAACCGTGGTATTTCAACTAAAATGGAACTATTGTTACCACAAACAGAAGACTTAAAATTGTTTCTTCTCAAATTTGAGAACTGCAGTCCCCAATATCTGAGTCATCTACATGTGCTTGTGGTTCACGACAATGAAAAATTGCTTAAACTGTTTCTGTGGATTAGAGAATCCCTTTGACTGAGCCTCACTGTATAGACTGAAGGTCTCAGCGTGGATGTATCAGTGTGGACAGTGGAAACAAGGATCACATGCCTGATTATTAGAGGGCTCATGTTGACGGATGTCTTCATATTAATACAATTGTTGCTTTAAAAAGAGAAAAAGATACATTTTGTGTTGGTATAGCTGAATCTATGTTTAAGTTATACTGAGAAAAGAGTCGTGAAAACAATCATGATCTGCTGTTTTGCTGGAACAAGGGAGCCCAAATTTAGATGCAAGCATATTGGTTGCCCTCTAGAAAAAGGTCCCAACTCAGCACTGCAACACCAGTAAAGTGAATTTTCCCCATCTCTGTCTAACACACAAATAGTTATAGCATGGCTGAGATTCATGTAGCTGTCTGAATTTCTTGTGACTCTCTGAGGCTTACCAGAGTACTGGATGAAATAATACAATTTTTTTAAATCCACCAGTGAAAACCTGTTGATAAAATCTGACAATACCAGCTTTCAAATAAAATGACAGCTCTAAAACTTGCAGGGGTCTTAAAACCTGAGTAGAATATTTGCAGCAGAAGTTAGCATGTTACAAAATAGGCCAGCTCCATCAAGCTGCTCGGTTCTAAGCTTTCCTTTGGGATGCACCTCTTCTTTTTAGTACAAGTTTTCCTTTTAATTCGTTTTGCTGATTTTAACAGTAAGTATTTGAGCAGTTTATCCTATCTTAACCACACATAACTGGAATTATTAAATTAATCAAGTAAATTCAAGTGAATTTAATCACTTTGCAGTGACGGGTAATGTTGTTTCCAAGTACCTCAGTTTACATTTTACAGTGCATCATTCTACAGCAACAGTTTAACAACAATTCACCAATGTCAGTTTAAAAAAACCTGCTCAGATCAGTTCTTTTCTTCTCTTCAGTTAGCCCTAATGGCTGTTTTGGTTTTGTGTGCTGTCTTTATTTGTCTGTGTTAAGCAGCCTCCATAACTGGACCGGAAAAGTCAGTCATTCCAGAGTGGGCGAAAATGGAGAATAGTCTCCAACAGCCTGACATCTCTGTGCACAAATTTAAGAGTTTTTAATCTAAACTCTGTAGCAGTAGTTGTTCAGCATAACTCTCAAGCACTCAAGAGCTTTTTTTACCTAGATTTTTTTAATTTGCCACAATCCACAATACTACTGCTTTAGCCAAGTCTTCTTCAGTAAAACTTTTACATTGGACTGGCCTTTTAAGATTCCAGAGCAGCAGGCAGAACATTACAAAAATACTTTGCTGTATGAGTGAAAAAAAAGTACACACGGCAGAAATAAAGAAAATTGAGCAAATGTTATGTACTCTTAGTTCCTCTTTTCCTCCTTCTGTTTGCCTACTCTGCTGGGAGAAATGGCTGGTTGGTTAGTACAGTTATTGTCACTTTCTTAACTCCAATATTTTGCAAGTCTCTACATAGAGTGCTCAGCTGTGACTTAAAATTGTTGTTTGAGTTGTACAAAACGTTGCTACAGGGTTTTCTGGAGACCTGCTTTTGAATAGATTACTATAAATGAAGCATCATTAGATCTGTTTCACAGCCTCCTCAGCAGAAGTTAAAGTCTACCATGTTCCTTTTGAAAATGTTTTTAGTCATACTCCAGCATTTTAGTACTTTTTTTTCTCCAGTTTCCAGCGCTGGGAAACAAATATTCCATGTATGAACTGGGGACCTATAAGCATCTAAACTTGGCAGGCCATTCTAAGCAAAAGGAGTGACATGAAAGAGTGCAACTATTTTCCAGTTAGGAAAATTTAAATGGAAAATCCCACACCAAAACAAACAAACAAACAAAAAAAAAAAAAAAAAAGAAAGAAAGAAAAAAGAAACAAAACCACAACTCTGCTTAAGGCAACGAGATGAACCTCAGATCATTTTGGCAGTCAGTTTGCAATGCAATATTTTGGCCTGTCTCCGAGAGCAACATAGTATGGCCTGAGGGCGGAAACTATTAGTTGTGCAAACTGTTAACTTGGCTTCATCTCTAAAGAAAATGTATTTTAAAACTAAGCATTTTACAAAAATCTTTTCACAACATTAAAAGCGTGGTAACTACAAAAGGCCCCTGCTATGCAGATGCTAACATTTCTCCTCCTGGTTTTGCATGTAATCTCAGTCACATTCAGGCACATAACCACAACAGCTAACGGTGATGGAAAACTGCAAATGTGCATCTGTAAAAAAAAAACCAAAATCTCACTATTACCTTACAGCAAAATGATCATAGACTGATAGGCATGAGATAATTGTAGCCCCCCCAAAACACATACTATTTTATAACTGAATTTGAACGAAACAGGCCTTTGAATATGACTGACTGACCCAGCAATATAAGAATGTACTGCTCTAGCACCTTCTGAACAAGTAAAAAGTACAACTGTGTGAGGTTCCAGAAGACATGCACTCCAGGTATATCTGAAAAAGAAAAGGCTTCTGGGTTTATGAGATTTTATAAATTCAGTGATAGAATTTCCATTTGCCAGAGTAGGCATAGGCTGCTGCATAACAGCAACAGTTCTAAAGCAGCTGTAGGCGACTGATCACCAAACCAGCTATTCACATTTCAGTCCTTAAGAAATGTTCCATTCTCCAGGTTTCTAGTATTGAAGAAGAAGAAAGTTAACAATGTCAAAGTCTTTGTCCTGACTGCACTGGGGAAAATTTTTTTTTAAAAAAAAAAAAAGAAAAAGAAAAAAAGGAATTGTTCTGGATACTACCACAAGAGAAAACATACAGTATTTAACTTAACCACAAACAGGAAGCATGCTGCTAAGTCACCCAGTAGTACATTCCCTGGCTTTTCATCGAAAAATTCTATATCATTAGCACAACCGCTCCACCACAGAAAACATACCACAATCCTTCCACTGCTCCTGTTGAGCTGTAAACTTTCTCCAAATTGTCTTGTCTGTCTTCCTGATCAGTATCATCACCGCAGCCAGTTTTTACTCTCCTGCCCTTTCCTCCCTTTTGCAGTTTTAGATGAAATCTGTTTACCTTTAGGAACTTAAAAAATCCCCAAATTTATCTTCAGAAGGAAGTTTGTTTAATATTGTTTACAGTGCATGAGAATGTGGTAAGTAATAAAAAGAAAATCACAGGGTATATAGCATATCTTAACAGGTGGGAAAATAGGGTTAGAAGTATTAACTACTAAGCAATGCAAATCAATGAAAAGCATTATTTACATATGAATAGATACTCCCTATTGACAAAATAACCTCACTTTCTAAAAAATACTCTCTTTGACTACTAAATAAATACGATTTATTTGCAAACCTAAGTCCAGAGAAAATCCACTTACTGATAAGATAATTCCAAGAATTAGTTGTTTGCTAAAGCTTTATTTAATCTAAAACTATAATTTCTTGCCCTGTTAGAGGCAATAATTGTACATTCTGTAGTGTTTCTGTAAGTTAAGTCGGAAGAAGTTACTATCATATTTATACAAAATCTGTTAGTGATTTGTATGTTAAAACATCCTGTGTTAACCATTAAAACAAAGTGACATTTCATGTTACAATCATGAATGGCATCACAAATGTTAGTTAAAAGCACAGCTAATTGAACAATTGTATAACTGGATGTGGAGTAGAGCTTCAGCAAGGTTAATTTTCTATGGCTACAGCTATATTTTGTTTTTAACCAGCTGTGAGGTGGCTGCACAACAGTTATTAGGCTATAAACTTCAATTTTAAGTTGACTTACACATTTCGCCTGTACTTACT